GTCCTCCTTCTCCTCCTCCTCCTCCTCCTCCTTCTCCTCCTCCTCCTTTTTCTTGCCACGTGAGGCACTGCAATGGCGCGGTGACCCAGTGAATGCACGGCAACCCTCATGCATAATGCTAGTTGCAGTTGTATGAGAGTCGGAAGCTTTAAGTTCTGAAATGATTGCTGAATGTACTAAGGCAACAAAAGTGGAGTAAAGGTAGAGCAGCGTTTGATTTGCCGCCTTAGTTCTCAAAGAGCACCTCCACATACCAACAAGTAGCGTTCAGCTGGCGCCACGAGCTCAACTTGTGATACAGTTATGAAGATCGCCCGGATGAAAGGGCGCTCCTGCTTCACGGTTGTAAAGTGCCGCGTTTCGGGCATAGACGAGCAGCCTCTTTCATTACACAGTGAGATTAAATTGGCGCAAAAACAACGTTTAATCAAGTTGTGCTCAGGTCTAATTAGAGACTCGATATCCTACAAAGAGGCCTGATAACGTGGTAGTACCCACATCACCGGGGCGAGATTTTCGATTGGTTTACCATCAACTAGCAGTTAACTTTTAGTATTTGTTTTACTGCAAAAATATCAGCTTCTCTGCAGTCTGGAAGAAAGCGAGGTTTTCAGATCAAAATGGCAAACAAAATTCAAATTCCTTGCAGGCCAGAACATGGGATGCTGTTTTGCAACGACATAATAAATTAATTTAGGATATCCGATTTTTTCGCATACGACAATGGGTTAGTCCACATTTTGTCTTGGGAATGGCAGCTTGGACTGCAGCGCCAAATCTGACTCGTGTGTTTGAATTAAATATTGCCACTAAAATTAGACAATTTTACCAGATTTCCAGGTAAACACCTTTCCTTGATGAAAATGGACTCAAGGTTATGGAAGTGCCACTATGCGGTGACCATGGATGTATGAACGTGCCAAATGGAAGTTTTGCCTTTGAGACAGTTTGCGGAACCTTCCGAGCGTTAGCGAACTTGAATCCAACACCGCCTTTCAAACAGGGCAAATAGATGCACAGTTTCTTTACATCCTACCCCAAAAATCACGTACCCTTTTATTTAGACTAAACTGGAGAACAGGCTGGCAACTAGGTCTTCCCACTTGTGCATCACCAACGAGAATTTCATTCTGCTTTTAATTTAAAGCATTCCCAAGAGGCTAAGTATTTCAACAATGTCCACAATTTTAATGTGTGTCTTACGATAAGAAATAAGTGCCGTTTTGCAGAGAAATTATTGTTTGCTACTGGATATCCCATATTCAACCCGTTCACCGTTTTGTCTCGGGAACGGTGTCTGAAAAGACAGTGCCATATCCGTCTTGTAAGTTTAAAATAAATCCTGCCACTATAGTTGTATAATTTTAATAGTTCTCTAGGTAAACACGTTTCTGAGGTGAAAACGGACTCAAAGCTTTGGAAATGTTATTATGCTATAAAATGTTAGAATTGCTTGCACAGGTAAAGCTTGTTTAACTCGAAAATGACATGATCGAGCGTGCTTATAGATTTGATATCGTGGACAGAGCTCAGAATCCGCCTTGTTGAGCACGGCATCGAGGTAGGAATTTTAATGGCCTCACTACCCACTGTCTTTCACCCAGCCAGGACTTATTTTACTGCGAAATATCGTCTTCCCTGTAGTATGGTTGACGGATTAAAATGACAAACAAAATTGGACTTCCTTCCAAGTGAGAACGTGGGATGAGAAAATTGGATTGAAAAAAATAGTCCCAAGGTACGTGAACTTCTATTGTGTGCCTAGCAGTCAAAAAATACTTGGAAAGCGTTTCATTAGCCCCCGTTTTACTCAAACCCAAAACAGGCTTTAAGTTGGCGAGATGGTAAGTGGTTCAGTGGGCAAAGCCTCCATTCCTCCTCCCAATTTATAAAATACAAGTTTTTCACGTTTAATAGGATTTTGGTCAAAACAAACAAGGCGACGCTGTGTGAGTGACAGTGATTTTTCATTTTGATAAACTTGTATTTCGATTGGAGCAAATCGCTTGCTTTTCAAAATAAGGTGCTGACAAGTACTAGTGTGCAGGTGCTCATTTAACTGAACGGATTCTACTTTATTATCAACCAAAGATAAACAGAAGGTTCTTGAATACCAGAACTTCTGGTAAAAGTAATTGGACGGATTAGTAAGTCACCTTATCTCCTCCCACCACCTCGTTTTCAACTTACAACACTTTAGTTGAACGAGGTCATTCACTCGATCTCTCTGCGATTCCTCCGATTTTGTTCGTCCTGTCGCAGGAGGCTTTAACAGTTCTCATCTTCCTTAAACCCACTTAGGGATGTTCACGATGAAATTGCCCTGACTACCATGAAATAATGCTGCAATTACTGGCCAAAGCTGTGAC